GACCGTCCGGTGCGAACCCGCTCCGCACGGCCAATCTGTATGAACTTTTAGGGAGCGTTTTAGAGTAATGCGGTCCGGAGGAACCGCTCGATCCCTAGCAGTTCATACTGATCGGCTGTGTGGAGCGATCCGCACTGACAGTCCGCGTGTCACTAAAACCAGCCTTAGGTAATAGGTAGACATGTAAAACCCTAAAATCCCAACTAATATTATAAATGCGAAAGTAAATCTGTCTGTCTGTCTGTCTGTTACGCTTTCCCGCTTAAACCTCGCAACCGATTTTGATGAAATTTGGCATAGAGATAGTTTGAGTCCCGGGAAAGAACATAGGATAGTTTTTATCCCGGTTTTTGAAACAGGGACGCGCGCGATAAAGTTTTTCTGTGACAGACAAAATTCCACGCGGGCGAAGCCGCGGGCGGAAAGCTAGTATTCATATAAAGATGGCATATTTCAAAGTACGGTCTGCGTCATTTGACGCATTTGGGTTTTACGCACGCATTTGGGTGTTACGAACTAAATAGTTCAAACAAAAAGTAAAGTAAAAACCAAGTAGCCAAAAAGTTCGCAACACGTCTTTGTACATACGGCCACACTGTTAACTATCCATTTCCGTTTTTTCTCTCGCTCTCATCAAATGGTGATTCTTTGCGATAGAACGAGACGACATGACTGGCAATGGGTAGTTAACACTGTTGGCAATAGTACAATGGAATAAGCTTGTGTTGTCATCTTTTTGGTCACTTTTGCACGTCACCAACTATTCAACGCTGACTACTTACGCCTGCTCTTTTTTGTTTACTTGTGACTAGTGAATCTCGTAACGATATTTATTTCTAGGATTCACACCCTAAAACTAAATTATTTCGCTTAAAATCTTACGATTGCATTTTCCAGAACCCTTCAAAACTTCTAAAGAACGAAGAACAGATCAAAACCATTTTGACATCCCACAAAGTATCCAAATATTTGTGGGTACAGATTTTGAAAGCGAACATAGTGGGACCAAAATGTGTTGCCATATCGAAGTCAATCTACCAAATTAGTAGAAATTTGAAAAGTTACATACAGCAGCATTACGATGCTGATCAATGTGGGGTAGTCATCAAAAGTAAGAAAAAGAAGATGACAGTGGAATTCCAAAATGAAGATGCTGTGCTTAAAACTGTGAAAGTAGGTGACAAGATTTGTGAAATGATTCACATTTATTTGGAAATTCTTTCTGAGGCTGGGTTATCTGCTAAAAAGGTAATATTGATAGTGTTATTGTGAATATATGAATAAATAAATGAATTTCTAAACGCTAAGAGTAAGCGCACACCGTTGATTTTTAGTTGGCCGATAGTTGTGCCCGATTTTAATTTGTATGAAGAATCGGCCAAATCGAATCGGCGTAGTGTGCGCACTCCCATACATGCCCATACTGATCAACAGCCCGACTAAACTATCGGCCGACGAAAAATCAACGGTGTGCGACTACTCTAAGAACTATTAATAGAAAAAGTTACTAATAGAAAAGGAAGTACTGCTCTAAAATCTAATTAATTTGGAAATACTGATTACCTTTCTCAGTAGCTAGATTGTTAAAGTTATCCAATTAGAATTCAATAAGTATAAAAAAACTAAGTAATTATTTATCATGAACTATTAAAGATCTTGAGATTGAAGGAAAAAATCTGCCGGTATTACGAGATTTCAGATCAGGCAGTAGTAGTATGGAGTCGTTACGATATATTATATTTTAAACCTTCCAAAAAACCTATCTATTATTTTATGATGCCAGTACCTCATAGGTACTTTCTAAAAAATAAGTGCCAAATGAGTAGTTAAAGTATAAGAATCATTTAAGTTTAAGAACATTTTCAATGCTAATTCCATCTTTCTCATTCCAGGTGTCATTGGACTACAAATCCTTCGACGCCATATTTGAGTTGCTGCACTGTGTAGACCACGTGCTAAGCCTGAGCGTGCCTTGGGCAGGGTTCCATCGGCTGTTCGAGGGGTCCATAGCTGTGCTGAACGGATTGCTGGTGTCGAGAGAAGAGCTGTTGGAAGACAGGTATGAAGGCTTCTTCTAAATTAAGAACTTAACTTCAAACTCCTCCTATGTTCTTCTGATTAATTTCGTTGCGGGTCCAATGACAGTTTAACTTTCCCCCGGGACAAACTTGACCTTCACTGGTTGGGTTTTTATTGGCGGTCAAGCTGTAGATCCCGGCTACACAGGAGTCGCAGCGGAGGGAACGAGAGGTGGGAATAGTCCCGTTCTTCTAAATTAAGGCTTTTTCCTCTAAGTTTCCTTCTGATAAATAAAACGAGGTGTTTTCACTGTTTATATTTTATTAATTTTGCTATTTCAGTTTCAATTTTGGCATTAAAACTATGTCAAACCGTTTTTTTTTTTTGTTTAAGTAATGTTAACGAAAGATAGATGACTTCAAGTTCCTTTAGATTCAATAAATATGTGCCACTTTATTCAGGCAGACTCTTTAAGAATTTGATGTTGCATTCAAATCTTAAATTTCATACGATTCTGCACGTTCATTCGTACATTTAATTTTTATTAATAATCCAGTGTGAAATCCAAGGATACTTATTTATGTCTTTTCTAATTCCCAGGTGGCCATGCTTTATGCAGTGCTACCGTTCGCTGGGCGTCCGCCTATGCGCCGCGGAATCGCCGCCGCAGCTTTCGCTTGGACCGCTCGCGCACTCGTTTGAGAAGTATGTACATTTGTTTTATAACCTAGTCTAAAGCCTGGTCCGTGAGCACGTAGAATTTTGTCCAATGACCCCAAGCTACCTATCCTTATCGCTCGCGCGTAATTATATTGCTGTCGCGACTGTGCGACGGGCGCCCGCAGTGAGTGTGCGAGCGCGACAGCAACATAATTACGCGCGAGCGATAAGGATGGGTAGCTTGGGATCATTGGACAGAATTCTACGTGCTCACGGACCAGGCTTTATCTGGGCTGGGTAAAGGTCCCTTTAGATCCCCTAAAGTCGATATCGGGATAGAAGTATGTATAGATCGTGTCATCCACGAAGACGCGCTCCACCATTCTTCCGCGAATGTTTGATTGTTATCGGCCCATGAGTGCACACGCACACTACAATAATGACGCTCGGATTGCTCGGATCAAACTCAAAAATTGGTGGGGCGCGTCTTCGTGGATGAAACGATGTAAATAGAGCTGTATCCCACAAAATAGTGTCAAGCCAAAGCCTAGACAAAGATAATCATTAGGCCGATAGGGTTAACCGAATCACCCTCATGCATCATGTATGTACCGCGATTTTTTCGATAGTCGATAGTTTTCGAGTTATGATTATTTTAAAAAAGTTTTAAAGAAAAGATAACTATTTTTGGGATATCCTGCAGAAAAAGGGAATAGAAAAACTTCTTCTACACAATAAAACTGAAATTTTGCTCTCATTGAAATACGGCAACCCCTGGGGTCAGTAAGTCCTTTGTGCACTCACTCAAGTAGTGATATACTTACCACTAAAAAAAATACTTAGGCTGGTTTTAATGTCACGCGGACCGTCCGGTGCGAACCCGCTCCGCACGGCCAATCTGTATGAACTTTTAGGGAGCGTTTTAGAGTAATGCGGTCCGGAGGAACCGCTCGATCCCTAGCAGTTCGTACTGATCGGCTGTGTGGAGCGATCCGCACTGACAGTCCGCGTGTCACTAAAACCAGCCTTAGGTAATAGGTAGACATGTAAAACCCTAAAATTACCTAATATAAATACAAATACTTACAATATACTTATGTATTTTCTTTTTTTTCCACAGATTGACCCAAGCGATCTGCAAGAGGAAAACTCACGTATCCAAAATAGCAGCGTACACCGTCGGCGACCTGTGTTCTGCTATAGAACGCTGCGTTCCTTCTAGAACAGTCCGCCAACATCTAGAAAACTCGGTCTCCCTGCTCATACAAGCATCGGACACGGCGCATGCCATGGCGTTCCTGAGGCGAGCCCTAACTGGAAGCCCAGGACAAATGACCATGACTAACATGTACACTATGTATAAAAGATACCATAAGTATGTTGGGAATGCTTAGATTTTATTTGTTATAAGCTTAATAAAGATTTTTATTCAATATTGTTCTTTATTTCACACTGCCCTTAGAAACCAAATCAGTTCTCTCAGTCCCACCCTCAGATCATAGTTCTATGATCTGAGGTCCCACCTTTTTTTCTTAAAAATTAATAATTAGTCTTTTTGGGATTCTAGACTACAATGCGACGGTGTAATTTTAAATCTACTATATAAAAATAAGTCGGGTTTTCCTCCCTGACGCTATAACTCCAGAACGCACGAACCGATTTCCACGGTTTTGCATTCGTTGGAAAGGTCTCGGGCTCCGTGAGGTTTATAGCAAAGAAAATTCAGGAAAATTTAACAAACGAAATTCCACGCGGGCGGAAAGCTAGTTCTAAAATAAAAACAAAATGTTACAGGGCTGCCCATCTTAGGATAATAACATAAATAAAACCTAGCCTAGAGTTTTTAATTTCTCTAACGAAATAAATAAAGTATTTCCACGATCATAATATTAAGTCTTTATTATAAAAAAGCACAACTTTTTCATAAAAGTTTTAATTGAAGTGTTTTTAATAATATTCCCTTCATAAAAAATCCTCTAGAAACTTTGTAAAGCACGCCCAGTTCAGCCCACAATGAACTTTCAAAAATTGCTTGGGAAAAAAATAACCTTGATAAGTTTCAGGAATTGAATAATTTGCAAAAAACTTCGTAAAACTTGCGCAATTACGCGCCAGAATTTCAAATCAGTATTGACATTTTTTCCGCCTGCTTCCGTCAGCCCATATATGGGCATTTATTGAATAGTGCGGTCTGATTGGCTCACACATCCCGTCATCGCAACACTGAGTCACTTTACGAGTGCCATCCATTTAAAATTAGTTTTATCTGCAGCGTTGAAAAGGTTGATTGTATTTTCTTATCTTATCGGTACAAATCCGAAGTAGCTCTCATATAAATGAAAAGTATTTTCCTCCGTGAAATTATCTAGTAATGCAACGAAGCTAGCAGTGTTTTATTCCATAACGTTGTCGACACTGCTCATCCGTTCAGTACAACACCTTTTCTTATTTCGAATTCATTTTCAATATTCTGACCCAAATTAATTATCACAATTATTTTGTTTTAAATAATTGAGACTATTTTTGTTGTGATTTTAATTACGACATTAAATTGGGCAAATTATTTTTAGTGAGAAAGTGTTTTGAGTCCCTACCATATTTTTGACACATGCGCTGATTGGTGCCATCAAAGTACGCGTAGCCAACATTCCGAACAGTGTCGTTCCGGTCGGCGTTGTCGTGTGTCGGTGAAGTTTAGTGGTGGAATTTTTACGTGTGTAACATCAAAAAATGGTAAGTGAAGAAAATAAATTGCAGTGTTTCATGGACGCGATGTGAATTGCTATTTTTTGAGTGGTGCAATATGTATCTGGAAGACGAAATTACACGAAAAACGGTTGTCCAGCGGCCGGTGCCGCCATATTTCGCACAACCCTCCGTTGAGTTCGCACGCCTTTTCGTAAAAATAGTTGTCACCGTCCAGTGATTTTATGCCACGTGTTGTGCTCCCAGCGTTACCCCGAGGTGTTGGTCTGCGATGACGTGCCGAGTGAATGTAGATTCGTCGGGGTCAGTATGTGGTGTTGAATTTCACTTAGTTCGAAAGGTTATTTCGTGCAACGCCTTTTTTGACGAGCCCCAGCATCCGAGGTGCAATTTGGGGGGTCTGGCGTGTTTTGTCGGTCACCATTATCAGCGTTGCGGAGGCCATCGAACTTGCAGGCTGAGGACCGACGCGCAATCGCATTTGTGTTTGACCATATAAGGTATAGCTGTGGCGCGGTGACTGCCACTGCCATACGTAGTCTATTTTGGGGTGAATAGGCGCTGCGGGCTTGCCGCGTCTCGCCGAGGCTGGCTTGATGAAACGAATTCGGCTATTGCTCCCAGCGTCAATGTCAAGGTCATCTGTTTAGCATACACACCTGCGATAGTTTAGCCATAAACCATCCGGTAAAAGTAGCTCTTATCCACTTGATTATAGTGACCACTTTGACGCGTCGATTCCGATGAATTTTTCTTATCAGAAATGTTAATTCTGACTCACCACATCCTTGCTTTCGAGTCGTTAAGGAGAGGCTGTTAATATGACTTACTGATGGTTGAAAAGTGCAACTCATTTCAGCATGAATCACACGCCTTATTGGCTAGCAATGAATCATATAAATGGATTCAGAAATGATCACATACCTACATAAAACAGGTAATGAATCTGTCAATATCCTCATAACCTAACTATGAAACAATTTATCACTTGTTTTGTATGTTCAGAGTTTGATTAACTACATAATTAATAAAATGGAATTCAAACAATCATGAATTCATTTCAGTTGTATGTTTTACAATTGGTTCTAATGTGCCTGATAAGGTATCACAATCCCAATAGCTAATCTAAAATCAACTTGCAAAATTGGTTACAATTTTAGTTTAATCTGATAATTTCAATGTCAACCTTTGGGACTTTCATAAAAACTCCCCTAAATAAGTACCCAACTGTCCCCAGTGGTAGGGTAAACTAGTTCGGGGATGAATAAGATGAAAAATCCTTTATGAAGGCAAGGGTTAAGTATTTGTAAGCCAAATAAAGCAGCTGTTCCAACTGGAATGACAAGTTAACATAGTAGGTACCTACATGATTGAAAAATTTAATGTAAGCAGTTTTGTCACTTGAGTGATTTTTGAATCTTCAGATCAAAGAAGTTAAATTCAATTTTGCTTTAATTTCAATCTACCTCCTTACTGTGGTACGGTACAATTTATAGACTTCAGTTTAAAAAGAGCTTATAGAGAAGTTTTAGAATATTTTCAGTCTAACTTAGCCATTAGAATATTTAACTTGACATCGAACTCAAATGATTTCTGATGAACTTCGGTGTTCTAGCAAATAAAAATTGACAAAACGGTTCAAGTAATGTGTGACCCATGAAAATGAAAATGTTTATTTTTATAAATAAAGTTGATTAACAAAATATTTTGGTAACCATCCTTTTAAGTATAAGAATACCTGTAGTAGGAGGTTACCGCTCTTTCAAAAGTATTAACATACATTCATAGTTAGTGTGTTTATGGTGTATTGAGTGAACCCATCTTCTGCGATTTGGTTAATTATTCTGTCTAATGGCTTCAATGGTGTGAATTTGAAGCACACTGGTTTTGCCAATAGGATATGATATCTGCGAATTCTGCGATAGAATGTCATCTGCTGAAGTAAATCATACTTCTCATTTGAAAAGTCCTGAAAATAAATTCATTATTTACCCGACTGTGCTAGAAGGAGGGTTATGTTTTTTCAAAACTTCATCGGCTTTTCATGTGACTGTACACAAATGGAGATTCTTTGATTCATCATACAAAATAGGACAATTTTATCCTAATTACCTACAAGTTTTACTGACACCAACAAAAGACTGATCTTAGACACCCTGCAGACTACAGTTCTATTGATAATTTTATCATCATTTTAGACTTAGTCATCATCATCATTTCAGTTCAGTCTACTGCTGAACATAGGCTCCCCCAATGATTTCCTCCTCCCATATTGACCGGTTGGTAGCGGCCTTTGCGATATTTGCGGGCGACGTTTGGTCGGCTTCTAACTTCTACGAGGAATCGGCCGATACCAAATTGGATACAGAATAATTTGTGAACAAAAACGTCACCCACTCAGCGTGTTTCATGCTCTACGGTAGACCGTAGAGCATGAAACACGCTGAGTGGGAAAGTACCGTAGAGTCCAGGACATAACCACATAACGCTGATATTCTGTGAGAAGTGAGAACCAACTTGAAAAAGCGTCACCAGTGACGTTATCAGCATTAACAAGTCCCACTATCACCAAACCATTGCCCTTTATATCCGTCATCATACCTGCTAACAGAGGTGACGTGACGCATCGCCGGGTCATTCACCCCACCCTCCTCATCCCTCGCCAAAATCGCATCGTAACGAGATGCGGGTCGGAATATCCTAACTTTTAACTAGTGAACTATGCCCTTGGAGATCTTGTTAGACGAGTTCATTGACATGTTTATACCTTATTTCGTTTTAGGGTTCCGTACCCAAAGGGTAAAACGGGCCATATTGCTAAAACTTCGCTGTCTGTCTGTCACAGCTGTATTTCATGAACTTATAACTAGACAGTTGGAATTTTCACGGATTATGTATTTCTGTTGCCGATCTATAACAACAAATAGTAAAATCGGAATAAAATAACTATTTTAACGGGACTCCCATACAGATACAACAAACGTGATTTTTTGCCGTTTTTTGCTCAAAAACCTTAATTTCAGGAACAAACTATGAGACGAAACTACGAAACCGGTTTATACCAATGTGTTTTGATTAATTAGAGACCACGATTTAATGAATAAGATATTGACTGTTGGACTGTTACTCATTAATCCAAGGTTGCTAATACATAAATTGATGTCATTAAAAATGATATCACATGGCGAAATTAAACACCAAGATTGGTAACCTGGCGTGAAGTTTGTTAGAAACTTGTAATAGGTAGTTAGTTTATGGCTAAATATGGCATTTGTCCTTATTTATTTATCTCGCACTGAAAATGTGTTTCCTGTTACACTATTCTAATATTATTTCCAATAGTTCTTCATAATGGATGACGTAGATCGACACTGAACTATCTGATATCAGGTACGAGTAAAAAAAATGAAACGGTCGTAAAAAGTGTCAAAATCGTCTGCCGTGAGTCAGATATGCATATGACTCATCTAGTAGACAGTTAAAAAATACTGTTACTTAGTAACGCATAGTTTTACTATAACTCTATAACCAAGAGTTCTATGGTTGTCTGTCTTGCTACGAGAATCATAAGAATCTTCAAAGACAAGAGGACATCAATATGGGATTATCCAGAGAATCCCTTTACCCACGAGATACCTTCTTGATTCGTCTTCCAAGTCAACCGTGTACAGACAAACAACAGCACAATAAGCTGAATATAATCCCATCTTATTTATGCAGTTGTGATGAAAGCAAATATGCAAAAAAAAATGCATTATCTGCTCACTATATCCAGCTTGGCAGCAAAGTTTTCGGACGTGGACGTGGCCTATAAACATGAAAAGGTTATATAATCTGCAGGACGACGCCCTCCTCTGCTCATCCCTCTTATCTATTCGGACTCCAATATCGATACCTCTGGGCTCAAAGGTCGTAAAGAACAAAGTACGACTTTTCAGGAGAAGCAAAAAACGTTTTTTTATTTTTTTATTCGACAGTAACTTTTTTGTTTTTTGAGCTATTAAAATATGACTTAGGAAGAAAGTGCTTAGAATTCACAGCATTTTCCGAGGAGGTATTGAGAAACTGGACTAGAGCTGTATTTACTGAAATAGTTTTCCTTTACGCCCTCAAAATTACAATAAAAAGACCTTTACGCCCCTCAAATATTCGTCCTAGGCAAGTTACTCAGGGCGTAAGTCTCTTTTTATTTCACAAAACTACAAAACCAAGGTAATAAATGACAATTTACATAGTTTTATAGGTTTTCATAGGTCGTAACGGAACACCCAGGTAAGGTATTATGCAAGGGTAAATTGATAATTTAGCTTAAATATTTAATGTTTTTTGGTATTTGATATGTAATATACCATTTCTTCACACATTTTTAATGAATTATGGTCTTTTAAATAAAATAAAATGATTTTTCGTAGCTTCATAATTTAATGCACACAATTTATGAAACTATTTATGCAGAAGTTTTGATATCCTCGAACTAGAAGATACCATTTCCGATTAATTCCGATATAAGAGCGAATTTAGAAAATAAATATTATGACGCTTTAAAATAAAACTTCATAAATGTGTATCTACTACCTATATACGAAAAGCCGAAACCAATTTAATTTTATTTATTTTTATTTAATCATTATTATTGTAAAAAAACTACAAATGGCGGACTTAATTCCATAGGGCAGTCTGTCAACCAGTTGACCTTATGGTAATGCAGATCGGATAGAATTATTAAGGACAAGCGAAAACCAAACTATAAAATAATTTAAATTCTAAATAGATTAAAAAATATTATTCATACTAGCTTAAATATATGTCATTTTACTTGATATAAAAGTAGAAAGGTTAGGTAAGTAAGATTACAAGTAGGAAGCTTTCATTCCAGTAAAGTACATCCACTTACTTTACTGTAGGACTAATAATAACGTTTTTAATAGCCAATTATTTTTAATATAAAATTTAAGTTCGAAAAAAAATGCATTCACGGTTTTTAGTAGATTAAGTCTCAACTGACACTATATTTTCCCATGTTGTGT